ATATATACATATATACATATATATATATATATATGGTTGGAAATGAACTCCAGAATTTGTTTTGATATTTTTTTAAAAATTATATATTTTTTTAATATTGTTCTTTCAGTATGTTCTCTTAAACCTTTTTTAAAACATTGGAGCTAGGGCATGATGAGGTTGACTTTCTCGGTGAGTTCAATTTTGTTGGGTGTGGTGGCCAATGATGCTGGTTGGTTGATGTGCGATCACTATTTCATTCTTTTGTTCATTTCTTTTTCATTCATAAGCATTTTCACGACATCTAGTATGGTAGCACTATTCACTAGGAGTTGCCAATTTCTTTCTTGGGACGCTGCTGCATTCTAGGGCAATTAGCTCTTGTTTTAAATCTTTGTTGATGTCATGGCTTTGTGGTGTCATGGCATGCCACAAAGTTTGATAAACTAGTTAAGAATTGCTGCGCTTGAGGAATAGGTTGATTGTTTCTACACTTGTGTAAAATGATATCGGAGCATGTTGATGAGGCTTTGCCATTCTTAAGAAAATGATTTTGCTTATTGAGCCGCTTGTCAAAATAGAAAGTCCTGATTGAAGGTCATGTAAACTAATATTGTGTGCCATAAAATTTGCGGTGATGGAGTGATTATTTAACTTCTTAGCATTACACGAAGTTCAACACACACACACACACACACACACAGATGAATGAAAAGTAGCAAGGGGGACACTGGTTTTTTATATGGAAAAACTCAAAATAAAAAAAAACATCATGGGGACTAACTTAGATAAAGTAATTAACTATAAATGTTTAAACACAAAGATACACTATTTCATCACAACTGGGAGAGCGAGATTACTACTTTACATCACATACATCATTTGTTGATATACATTATACAATTCAATATAGGAGCTAGGAAAAAACATTTTAGACTACGATGTTTGTAAGAAATGATCACTGGTGTTTAGTGGTCGATAAAGGCGATGGCTGTAGTTAGAGGCTATAAAAACCAGAAGTTATTGTTGGGTCTTTTGTACAAACGTTGTATTTATCGTATTTGTGATAGGACGTCTTTAAGCAGAGATTGTCGGCAGTTGGTGGTGGTAAGCAGGGACTACCGGTAATGGTCTACGACGGGTGGCCGGTGGTGGTTGATTGTGGTCGGTGACTATGAAGGCTGGAAGTTATCATTGTGTCTTCAATACGACTTTATACGTTACAACCTTATTTGGTTTATTGAATTTGCAAGTAGGTGTCGTCGACCGTATCAAACAATAGTGACCTACGACGTCTAATTGGTGGTGGTTGATGGTGATTTGTGACTATGGAGACCAGAAGTTATTGTCGAGTCTTCACTAGAAAGCTATACATTATAGCCGTATTTGGGATATGACGTTAGCAAACAAAGGTCACCAACAACGGCGAGCAAGGGTTGCAAGTGGTTGTCAATGGTAGACGACTGACGGTGCTTGATGGTAGTCGGTGGCTATAGAGACCGAAAGTTATTGTTGGGTCTTCAATTTATTACAAGCTCTGAAATTCTTTCTCTTCATCTTTTCTTTTTTTCTATCTTAATTGAAGGGAATGAGTCTATTTATAGGCTCTAGAAGAAGTTTATTTTCATCCTTTCACGAAAGCTTCCCCAACCACCTGATCGAACAACCAAAATTGATCTCTCTTGAACATAGTATTTTTTAGTTGTTTAAGAGTCTTACTTATATTAGAATTAAGCGGGCTTAGACTCGTTGGATTTTTTTGGTCGAGACGCTTGATTTGAGTATAAACATGTTAAATTTGATGTTCTTTTGACCACTCAACAAATTATTTAAAACCTCTAATAGTACTCTATTGGCTTGATCTGGGCTTGATTGGACTATGATCAAACTAATTTTGGTATCATTGGATTAGCCTTGATGAGATGATCAACTTGATTTTAAACTTGATAAATTGGTGCCCGTATAAATTTAAATTTAAAATTTAAAAATCCTTTATTAAAAAGTGCATCGAGATTCTTGCTTGATAAAAAATTTGTTGATGACATATCAAATCTCAACAGCTAGTACAATCCAAGGCATCTAATATTTATAACACTAGGCTACTTTGAAGTTAGATTGCTATTATTGATCATGGTCATTTTAAACTGAAAGATATGAGTTTATGAATTGAGAAAATAGAAAATATGTTCATGCCTTGGTAGCTTTCTCTTATGTCGAACTAATATCTGATTATGTTTTTTCCTCTTTTAGTATATGCAGACCTGATATTTCACGTACTTGTTCTTAATTTTCTTCCTACTATGATATGAAAACTAGGATATGGTTTTTTTCAATATTGAGAGGGACGAAATTATCAAATAAATTGATTTCTTTTGACAGGTATCAGATGCTGATAATTATCTTGAGAGAACTTTTTTAAGCCCTGCCTCCATCAGAGCTGGAAATTTGATTCAAGAGTGGATGGAAGATGCTGGGTTGAAAACGTACGCTTTTTTCATGACTCCCCTATTTTTTAGTTCCTCTCTATTTTTTTCACATACATCTTCCCTCTTTTGTTGTCATTAAAATTTTAGGTGGGTGGACTATATGGGTAACATACATGGCAGGGTTGGAGGAGTAAATGCTACTGCAGAGGCATTGCTGATTGGATCTCATTTGGTACTAGAACTTTCCTCTCATTATGTATGTTTGTATTCTAGCTGATTTTTATCAATGTCTTTAAATACTCATGCAGGACACTGTCATAGATGCTGGAATGTTTGATGGAGCACTTGGTATTATTTGTGCTATATCCGCTTTAAAGGTTTTGAAGGTCTCTGGAAGGCTTGGGAAACTCAGTCGACCAGTTGAGGTTTATAATCTGACTTGCTTTCACACATCCACAAGCATTTCCTATTGGATGTTGAAAGGAGAAAATACAGGGGTCTGAAATGATTTGAGTTATGATGGCTTTTGCCTGCCCATTCAGGAAAATTATGTTTTTATATAACAATCTTTTGCTGTGCTGGAATGTTTCGACTGGTGCATGTATTGAATTTACTTAGAAATATATTTATTTACATGGGTTTGATAAGCCTTTCCGGATCTGTATCTATGCTTTTTATTAGAAACTTTTGATGTTATGATTCTTAATGATTTCCCTTTTTGTTTTGTTTCGCTAGGTTAATATTCAATGTGGGTTATAGTTATAATAATTGTGCTTTTATAGCTTTGCTTCAAACACGTAGGTGATTGCCTTCAGTGATGAGGAAGGTGTCAGGTTTCAAACAACTTTCTTGGGTAGTGCTGCCATGGCTGGTATTCTTCCTGCATCAGCGTTAAAAATAACAGATAAAAGGTTAGTTTTCCTTAGCTTCTCCTGCTATGTGTATTATACTATCTTTCCCCCTTTTATCATAATACGTGCAATTGTTTCAGTGGTGTTTCAGTGAAAGATGCTTTACGGGCAAATTCACTTGATGCTACTGAAGAAAGTTTCGCTAATGTCAAGTATGACCCAGAGTCAGTGTTTGGTTATGTTGAGGTACGCGCAATCTGTTATATGAGTTTGGTATAGTGTAAGCATATTAATGAACAGATGATCAACTCTGGCATAGGTACACATTGAACAGGGTCCAGTACTTGAGTCCCTTGCATATCCTCTTGGTGTTGTTAAAGGAATTGCTGGACAAACAAGACTAAAGGTTTTCTGTTTGAACTGTAGTTATGAGTTAAATTCCTAGATAATTTATGCTGATCTATAGCTAACATTGCTTTATTAAGCTTAAAAGAAATAACTGCTCTAAAAAAATTTCTTATTTATTAATGACTTGGGCTTATGTAGAGCCTTACAACAGTATTAGAAATAAATCTCTAGACTTCTTTTATATTTCTTATTTACAAATAGAACCCTTAAAAAAGATACAAATCTCAACACTCCCCCTCAAGATTGACAAAAGATATCCATTAATCCTATTATGTCACGTAACCCAGAAAAATCTAATGAGCTAAGTCATTTGGTGAGGCATTCAGCCACTTGCTCTGTAGTGGCTACAAGAGTTAGCTTCAGTAGTCCATTATTCAACTTTTCCTTGATGAAGAACCTATCAATCTCCACATTTTTGGTTCTTTCATGTTGCACCAGGTTGTTAGCAATGCTGATTGCTGACTTGTTGCACCACAACTTCATTTGTGCTCCTTGGTCCGCCTTGAGCTCTAGCAACAAGTCTCTCAACACATCATCTCGACAACTCCTAATGCCATGGACCTGTACTTTGCCTCTGCTGTTGACCTTGCTACCACTGATTGTTTCTTGCTCTTCCAAGTGACCATGCTGCCCTCTACAAACTTGTAGTATCCTAATGTAGACCTTATATCATTAGCACAACTCACTCAGTCAGTGTCATAATAGCCTTCAATGCCTAAATGGTCAGTCTTCCCGAAGATCAACCACTTCCTTGTTGCACTTCTCATGTGCCTTAGAACCTGATAGGTTGTGTCCATATGATCATTCTTTGGATCATGCATGTAGTGACTCACCACACACACTGCAAATGAGATTTCGGGACGAGTGTGACTCAGATAGATCATAAAACCTACCAATATTTGGTATCTTACATGATCAAATAGCTCTTGTGTCTCTGCACTCAGCTTGATCTTTTAATCAATTGGAGAGACTGCAAGCTCACATTCCAGCATGCTTGTTTCCGTGATCCAATACATACTTCCTCTGAGACAAGACCATCCTCTTTGGTCCACATGTCACCTCAAACTCAAGGAAGTATCCCAATTCTACCTTTAGTTGAATAATCTCCTTCTCATCATCACTAGTGACAATCATGTCATTAACATACATAAGCAGCATAGTGGTATGACCTTCATGGAGTTGAAAGAGTACCGCATGGTTGACATTGATCTGCTGATATCCCTTGTCCACCATAGTCTTTCTAAACTTGTCAAATCAGATTCAAGGAGACTGCTGCAAGTCATAAAGTAACTTATTGAGCCTGCATACCTTACTCACTGTTTGGCTTGTTCCGAATCCAGGTGGTATCTACAGATATACATCCTCAGTAACTCACCATAAAAAAACACAAGCTTCATATTGTGTTGGTGTAACCTCCACCCATAATTCAATAACAGAGAAGCTAGTTTTCTCACTTGTACATCTTCGCTACTGGCAAAAAGCTTCGTTATAGTCAATTTCACACGTCTGAATGCATCTTTTGTTACCAATCATACTTTGTAACGCTCCACCTTCCCTTCTTGATTTTGTTTCCATGTGAAGATCCACTTGTACCCAACTACTCTTTTCCCCACTGGTAGTGGCACTCTCTCATGTCTGTTTTTTATCAAGTGCCTTAAGTTGTTCATGCATGACCACTTTCTACTTAGGATCCTCTTTAGCTACCTGCCAACACTTAGGTGTAGAGACAGTGTTCCAAGTTGCAATGAATACTCCATGTACAGATGATACATTAGAGTATGAAACAAATTGAGAAACGTCATGCTCACACCTAAAATGACCATGATATTTTATATTGCTGCGAGAGGTTCTCCTTAAAGTTATGTGGTTGGAATTAGATGAAAGAAGAATCATATCATCTGTGAATTTTTAGTATGAGGTGGATGGTGCAGGCGTCTCAAGAATCTAGACCAGTACAAGAGACTCATTACCACGAGTTGCACTGCAGACACAATTCCCTTATTCTTCTTCCTCCTCCTTGTATATACCCTCAACTCCCCTCTAGCTTGAATTTTAACACCTCTGGGTTAATTTTCTTCATTTTCCAGCTCCTCAATCGATGCATCCCACATCACAGGACAAGACATCAATCTCATATCTACCAGTTTCTCGCCATTACTATTCGCCCTCTATTACCTCTTATCTCCAGTATCTTGCGAGCCACTAAAGGGTGAGGTTACCTTTATGGTGTAGTGCGGTTGGAATTATCCAAATAATATATCCATGCTCTCAAACAGTCTCTTCTCTGTCAGAATCCAACAGACATATCCTTTTTAGAGGTAGTATAACCCACAAAATAGATTCCACAACATTGGGATTCAACTTTCTTACTAATGTGTTGTCCTTATAAAAACATACGCAACCAAATACATTTTTTGTGAGGATCTTGCTAGTGTCTTTTTTCAACATTTGACATGTAAACTTTTAATCCATTACTCTAGAGGGCATTCCTTTGATTAATTGAGTAGCTATCAAAACTGCTTGCCCCCACAAATGCTTTGAGACATTCAACACATCATGCTTTGGGCTACCTCTAAAATTTATTTTTTTCTTTGTTGCTGCTTTGTTTTGTGTGGTGTGTATGAACATGTAATTTGATGATGTATCCCTTAGACTGATAAATATTCCTTAAACACCTTATTGTTGTATTTTGTCTCATTATCTACTGCACCATATTGAGTCTGAATTACTTTGTGAAAATATTTAAAGCAATCAAAGACAACACCTTTATATTTCATCAGATACAACTAAGTAACACAAGAAAAAAAAGAACTAAAAGTCATAAAATATCAATAATCATGCATCGAACTCGTAGAACAAGGTCCATCAGAATGTATCAAATCTAAACCATAAGAACTTCAATTCTTATAATTGATATAAGAGCTCCTAATAAGCTTGCTAAACTCGCAAGCATCATAAACAATTTTTTATTTATTTTCCTTTTCATACAACGACGGATACAAATAACTTAATAAATTAAAATAAGAGTATCTCATGCTTTTGTAATGTAGTACCAACACATCCTCCACACTCCTCCCAAATCCCCTTACTTTAACACTCTCCACCATGGATGTCAAGTTGAGTCAATCCTCTCTCTATCTAAGTATCGAAGTCAACTATGCCACATTTCAGTCCCAAGTGTCCGGCTCGTCCCTTTATCTTGAAATGTCATCTTAGGCATATAAAAGAAAATTACATATTTTAGTTTCACAATAATGACTCTGATGGATAAAAGATTTACTTAAAAAGAAGAAACATGCAACATATTGGACAAAGTTATAGAATCTGTGCTTCTTAATATATCATTACCCTCTACAAGTAGTACTGTACCATCAACAGTCTAGGTGCTCTCTGGAATGACTAGGTGAGTATAGGAAGAGAATTCTCTAACAGTACCTGTTATATGCCGAGATGCACCAAAATCCACTATTAATTTTGGTGATGTTGTAGTGGAAATGACGACAAGATCATGTGTATCACAACTACCTTGGTTAAAGTGAGCATAAGTAGCAATTTTACCTTTTCATGATGACGAGGTGGATGCCTTCTTAGCCCTATCATCTTCTGGATTTCAATTTCTCTTTAACATCTTCAGAAAATTATGATTCCCATTGGTAAATACCCCACACCTGTCTTTTCCTCGTCTTCTGTTACCATTAGATTGGCCTTGTAGCCCACTCTTCCATCTCTTCGGCCACCACGGCCACGACGATGACCACGACCTCTAAAATTTCCACGTCCACATGTCTATCTCTTTTTTGGTGGCCTAGGACAAACCTTGCACAAATGTCCTACTTCACCTCTGTTATAATACTTGCGAGTCTTCTCCTATACACCTGTCATTCATGAGCTCGAGGCAGCTAAAGTAAATCGCATACTTGGAATTACACTCGACTAAGAGTGCATTCTCATGCGACTCTCCTGTATCATCTCAGCTATGGCCTCATCCAATGATGGCATCATCACTTGGGCTAGGAGGACTGGTCTCCTCTGATAAAAAAACAGGGTTCAGATGAGCGAGAAACTGTGTAGTCCTCATTTGTGCAAAAATTTCTCCTTTCTTGCACCCTTGGATCACCACAGCTCTATATCGGTGAGAGGTGATCAAAATATGCCCACAGCTGCTCCTATTCTGTAGAGTATTTCTGAATCGATCTATCACCCTGAAACTATCGAAAGTAGCCATATATAAAGCAAGGAGTGTGTGATCCTCCACTCATCCCTCTCAGCACTGTTGCTCTTTGGGACTCACGTTAGATATCCATCTAGTTTCTTTCCTACTAGAGCAACCTCGATCCAACACGACCAACTCAGATTTGGAGTCGATCCATCAAGCTTCAGATTTACGGGAGGGAGATCAAACTTCACCTGCGTCGGAACACGTGCTGAGCTAGCGGCTCCCGTTGTGATGCTAGCTCCCTATATTAGTCCGATCAAGGCATTCAGAACTTTAGAATGTTTTCCAGAAGCATCAATCCTTTCCCTCCCTCACTTTCTTCATTTCCTGATATCCTCAATTACAAGATTCTAAGTCTAGATCACATAAATCACACATGACTCCCTTCCATTTATTGATCTTATCTTGATCTATCTCATCATTAGAATCAAACTCAATTTAATTATTCCCACTTGCTCACTTTGAAACGACACAACATTCCTCTGCCTTCGTCATCCTCACGCACGCAGAGCCAAATTTCTCTCCTACACAGCTCTAGTTGCACAAGCTTCACCCCTGCCCTAGCTCGAGCCACACAAACCTTTTTTTACCGCGAACCAACAGTCAAAGGCATCACCTCTTCCATTCGATCGAGCCGCACGAACTTCTCTCTTGCAAACCAATAGTGAGGGCTTCTCCTCTTCTTTTCGATCGATTCTCTCTGCACTGAAGACACTTCCTGCACCACGCATTTGAAATCAAAGCCTCCTCCTATCTCATTCTTCTTGATGCGACAACCGTCC